GGATATTTTTGGAACTAAAATTTTAAAATATTGCAAAAGTACCCACAAAGGATGAAATGATAATTATGGAGTATTCAAATATAACAAATTAATCACACTTCATTCAAAATTAAAAGCCCATTTTTTTTTATTCATTATCATTTTCTAATTAGAAAAAAAAAGAAAGTTATGAAAAAAACTAGCCCACAAAGTTATCATTTTCTGTCGTCCACTAGCCCTCAACACGTCAGACCCTCGCCTCAGTCGAAAAAAAACTCCTCAGGAGGCCGACCAAAACCCTATCCGTTGCCCCCAATCTGAAACCTCCTCCAGCACAACCCAAAACCCTAGCCGCCGCCACCCCAATCTGAGCCCTTCTCCAACATAAGCGCAAGCCGCAGCCGCAGCTCTCCGACGAGACCCCTCGCATCGTGGTCATCACTCCTCACCTCCAGGAAAGACGGCTAGACCACCACCGCCGCCAACATCGGCCTCTCCCTCGCGCGCCTCATCTTCTTTCTTGTTTGTCGAGGTCCTCAATGGTGATGAGCCAAGGCTTGGAAAAGATGAAGTTGGATCAGGAGGATCGAGCTTTTCATCTTCAATTTCCCCCAATTTCGGCATGACGACCCCTTTACCGATAATTGAGCCCCTGAACAAGGAAACCCCGTCGCCATACTCGCTCGCAGATCTAATTTGGCCTTCTCTTTTTTCCGCCCTTGTTGGTGTTATAATTGGAACAATTGGACTGGTGAGATTAATGGGGAGAATGAAAGAATTAATGGAAACAAATTCACGTAGTTCAGATGGTGGTTTGCAAAAAAAAAAAAAAATGTTTATATGGTAAAGCGCAAAATCGTGATAGTTCAGATGGTAAAAAGTTTTTTCCTTTTTTTTTTGGTCTTCCATTTTATAATCCTCACGTTTTTGTCAAAGACATGATTCTGAAACCGAATCAGTTAAACCGGCGCAGCCACTTGTTCAATGGTTCACTGGTCGGACCAGTGGTCGAACTAATGGAACTGATTTAGTGAATATACAATTTTTATAATTACATATATATTTACCATTAATTTTATAGTGTATGACATTTCTCTAAATAAGAGTTCAATAATCGATATAACCGACAATGTTGAATAATGTTGATAACCTTTATTTTATTTTTATTTTTTCTGTTTTACAATTTTAATATATATTTAAGTACAAAATTGAAAGAAGAGAAACAATTCTATTTAATTATAAATAAATTTAATTTTTTATTATTAATTAAAAAATAAAAATTATGTGCATAACAAAATAACAGTAAATTGCTTCTTTCCTCTACAATAAATTAAGAATAGAATAACCCAATCTATAGTCCAATATAAAAAAATACTACATTTTTCTTTTAATAAGTACAATTTTCCTTGTAAGACCCAATAAATCAACAATGACCTCTATTTGTGAACATATCCTACGTTGGGAACACAAAGTAAAAATGTGTGATATTTAAATGACTTCACAATCAATTGTTTACAAGTTCAAGAGCCATAACCGTTGAACCGTTCAAACATATCCCAGTTCAACAGGTTTTGGACTGGTTCTAATAATGGTTCCTGAAGGGTTCTTGGTCCAGCCGGTTTTGTGCTTCAAACTGGACCGGAATGAAGATCAGTTCCGGGTTTAACCGATTGAACCAAATAGTCCGATCAGGTTTTCAAAACCATGGTCATAAATCCAAATGATGGGATGTTGTGCAAAGTTTTTTGTCTATCCAACTTTTTTAAGAGGAATAAGATGGTGAGTTAAGGAAAAATCGAGTCATCCAATCAATTAAGTTACTACCTCATGGTTCTAGAGGTGAGCAAAACCGAGCTGAAATCAAAAAACAGAACCTAATATGGGATGCCATATCCGAGTTAACCTGAGAAGCAGACTAACTATACCAGATGCATCACTAGGTTGATCAAAGGTTGAAGGATAGGGAGGTCGAAAGTAACATCACCAGAATAGAGAATCAGCAGGTCCAGCTAAAGCCCTTTAAAGGCCTGTGGGGAGCTTGACCTGAGGACATTGTAGGTCGATGAATCGACCTAGCAGACAAAGCACGAGCTCACTGAATACAACTTTCTATCTCGAGATAAACAAGTTTAGTTGCATGATTAGTCCGTCTGATAAAGAAAACAAAGAGATAAGATGGAATATTATGAGAATAAGAATCATATGTGGATTAGACCATATAGCCTAACAAAACTGGGTAGTTCGGACACCCGATCAGTATAGGTGGGCAGTTCAAGCAGTCGGGTAGCTCGTCTAGGCGGTCTTGGGCAAATAGACACCATCCCTATATAAAGGGCTGAGGTATAGCACTCCAAACTTTACACTCTTTACACTTACAGTATGTTGGGATCTATAAGGATCTCGTTATGCACAAATAACAAATTCAATAGCAAACGTAAACCTATGCGCAGCAGATCTAAAGGTTTGCGTAGAGAACTTACGACTTAAAATTTGTGGCGATCTGACTGATCTTCAGGATGGACGTACATAGCACACCAATGAATAGTTGACTGCAAATCGCGTCCAAGGGTAGCACGAACAAGATTGGATCGAAAGCTGGATCAAACGGGTGCAAACGGATGAAGACAAGCTTGCTGTCCTAGGAGCTTCCGGTGGCGCGTGAGGGCGCGTGCGGCGTCAGACAGCGGCGACTTCGGCGGCTTTGGAAAGCTCTCGTCGAGACGGTCGTCTGAGTGTGTTGGACATCTTGATCGGACCTTCTGTTAGTTCTGTACGACAAAATATATTTCGTCTCAGTTTACCTACAGATGTTCTACTGTATATCTTAATACACCCTTCTTCAAGTTGTACCAGTGGAGCAACAAGAAGAAGACAAAGCTCGAATAAGAACTGAGAGAGAGAGAGAGAGAGAGAGAGAGAGAGAGAGAGAGAGAGAGAGAGAGAGAGAGAGAGAGAGAGAAAGAGATGGCGTGCGAGTAGATGAGAGATTATGAGAGTTCTCTTCTCTTCCGATGAGCTTAATGATGTATATATATAGCTACAGTAGGGACTCTTAGGAGATTAGAAGAAGGGCTCTTTAATTAGTTAAAATACTTGTGGGTCATCCCACTTATTTTAATTAATTAAATAATATTAAATTGTTTACCAACATAATATTATTGCACTCTCTTTTCCTAGCCCAATTTACAATTAAGACTCCAATAATAATTACTCGATTTATCTCCCCATGTTTAAGACATAATGTCTATTAATTAATTCGATCACTGACAATCAAGAATTAATTAATTTATTATTATTTCACTGAAGCTAGCACTCGTTCATCACATTATTACTATGTCGGAATTTAATCCACCTGCAGGGTTTAACATAATAATCCTTCATGAATTCACTCCGGGGACATCATCAAACTAACGCACATGGTGACCGTAAATATCCTAACAGCACATCCTACATGCAACAATATTACCCAAGACAGCGGGTCTATTGGC